ATGTTTGATTTTTGTGTTTACTGCTAGATGTTAAAATTCACTGTGCAAACCAAACTTCTAAAAAAAAAAAAAACAGAAAAATAAACTTGTATTGGGAGCCTAATACATTACTTCCGGATAGGACTGCCAGATAAAAATACTTATACCAAAAAAAATTGTATTGTTTATCTGATTCAAATTTAACTAGGTGCCCTGTATTTTTCTTTGCTAAATCTGGCAACCTATTTCTGGGTTAATAATTCTACATAGAAGAGGGGACTGAGGACAGTATCCCCCACCTGGGAGTCGGAAGCAAGGAAAACCAAAGGAGGAATCGGAGAAGCAGATAGAAGAGTCTGAAAAAACATGGATGGAGAACCAGGTGTGCACAGAGCTTCTGTTGAGCAGTGACACCGGCCCAGGGGAGTGGTGGGGACCAGGAGGATGCTCAGTAAGAAAGGCCCATGGCTGTAGAGTGTGGCCCTTACAAAACTGCTGGTGCTTCTAAGTTCTGTCAGTGGTTCTCAATGAGGTTAGGGTGGAAATGGGGTGTATGTTGGAATGACCTACAGCATGTCAGAACTGAAATCTACACACTGGAAGTAGCCCACTTCTCCTTTGGGGGTTGAAGAGAGAAACATAATATACATGTAACCCTTATCAATTCAGAATTTATGTGGTCCACTTTGAGAGCCGTGCTGTGGTCACTAAAGCACAAATTATAAATCTTTTCTTGCATTTTTCTCGAAAACCATGAAGAAAATCCCAGTTTACAACAATTCATTTGAAAGCCCTTATCTTCAGTCTACTTCCTTGCTGTTCTCTAGCACACCCCGTCCGTGATTTCCTCCACCATCAGCGATTCCCCTCCCCCATCTGCTTTTCCTTTTGTTGCAGATTAGACCTCTCTTTCCAGCAAAAGGGTCCAATCAACCTCTCCAGCCCTGTCCCAAATGGTCTGAAAGGTGAAGCTTTTTCAAAGAGGGGGAAAATGGAGCTGGCAATTATAAAATTCTCTTTGGCAGGCTGGGAAAGGGAAAAGTATACATTTTCTTGCGCTGTCCCTGGTTATTTTGAAAAACTTTCTAAGTGATTCTGATATCTGGCCCCCTTTGTGTCTTAACCCGGACACAAAGCCTTTTTATTTCTTGAAGAGTCCTATTTCTTGGCAAATTTCTCCCTGCAGAGTGCATTCTTTCTTCTGTACTGGGCCCCAAAAGAGGTGCCATTAGTGTGAGTGGACGTCTGTCATCTGTCCCTGCAGAGACCACAAAGTGCTGTGCCACCAGCAGGTGACCGTGACCATCTACCTACCTGAGTTTTCCAGTGAAGATTCCTGGCTAGACTGTCTCTAACGTCAACAAGATCTTATTTTTTTAAAATAAATTAAAAAGGAGGTAGCCCTTAAGAGGTTTAGTCACCATCCCAACTGAAATGATCCTGAGGATGGAGTTCCCCAGCATCACAAAGCTGCCTTAGTGGTGGTGACTATGGCAGCTGCAGGGCAGATTCACGAGGAGCCCTGGGGGTGGCAGCCAGCCCAGCAGGACATTCATAGTGTGGGGTATAATCTTAGCCTTCCAGCTGGCCTATGAGACCCCCAAGGGTCAGAGTTCCACCCTGCTGATCTGACCCCTCAAGTCTCCTCAGGACTCTAGTCATTTTGAAAAGATCCTCTGAAGCCCCAACTACTCCTTATGGCGAAGGACCCACATGTGAACAACCCAAAGCTTGGTGAGCAAGACCTCCGAGCACCAAACCCAATCCTGCCCTCTTTAAAAAAATATTTTGGGGCCGGCTGAGTGGCCCATTGGTTAAAAGTTGGCTTGGGACGCCAGCTCTGAGCATCAGGGCCCCGGTTCAGATCCCACATGAGGGCCAGTGACTCTGCGCCCTCTACAGCTAAGATGGTGAACAACAGCTCAACCTGGAGCTGGGCTGCTGTGAGTCGCCGGCGACGGCATAGGCTGCAGTGGGGCTGGCCGGCAGCTGGCGTGAGCTTTCGTGAGCTACCGTGAGCCACCATGAGCGGCCGACCAATGGCCTGCAAGCGATTGCCTCACTGGGGAAGAGCGCAATGATAATACCAACATGGGCCAGTGAAGCGACGTCCTCTATAACTAGACTGAAGAACAAAAGGACAGCAACTTGTCTGTTCCCCTTCCCCGATTCCCCAACACTGTTCCCCTCCCCCAATTCCCCAATAAAAATCTTTTTAAAATGTATAAATAAATAATATTTTTTACTTAGGGTGGCTATCCTCAGTGGTTTCAAACCTATTTCAGAGTAACTCTGCTCCGTCAAACTTATTTTCAAAACTTAGGGTGATGACCTGAAACTAATAAAAAAAAAATTATTCAAAAAAAAAATCTTTGGGCCGGCCTAGTGGCACAATGGTTAAGAACTGGCTTGGGATGCCAGAGGGCCCCGGTTCGGATCCCACATATGAGGGTCAGTGACACTGCTCTCTACAGCTAAGATGCTGAACAACAGCTCAACCTGGAGCTGGGCTGCTGTGAGTCGCCGGCGACGGCATAGGCTGCAGCCCCTGTGG